CCTAATGTCGCCCGGAACCCAAATGTTGAGGTACATACAGTCCTCGGACACCAAACTATTCGGGGCCAGATGCAGCCGCAGCGGAGCGATGGGCTGCTGGCCTGGGCCGGCGACTGGCTGGGGACACGAGGGTTTCTCTTCTGGTTGTCTGGTTTCATTGCAGCGCACAAATCGAGGCCAATGAAAGTGAGAAGGACAACAAGACAACTCATATAATTGATTGATTGACAGTCTAAAGACACTACTGATAAAGGAAGAAATAAGTAATATAGTCGATTGTCATTGCAAATAGAACATGCACAACCGCGCCACATAATGTGATATGAGAAATGGCTGAGCTTGCTTAAAATTCACACCTACTCGTGGCAATGTGGCGTTGTGGTGGACGTGTCGACAGGTTTGTGGTTCGAGTCCCGCTTGGAGTGTTGATAGAATTTGGACAAGGTCGAAACTGTACTCCACTTCAGTCTGAATGGGAATAGCTTTTGAGAAAGCAAGGCATTTGATTGTGGCAAAATTCACCCAGCGTGACGACCAAGATGTTGTGACCTCTGGTATGGTCGCAGTCTACTTTCGATGTCGCAACTTGGCCTTGTTGTCAGGGCAACTTAGTAGAACACGCCTAGTCCGAAGTCGTCTGGCATAGTAGTTGTCATGATTGCCAGCATCAGACAGTGGACTTGGTACATTCTCAAACCTATCGCCGGCATTGTAGTCGACAGCAAGCTACAAACTCGTCATTGAAAGGGTGGATAGATAGATCAGGACAAAAAGATGAGTCATCGTGTAACCGTTTTCGGCAGAATATTTGTCGACAGATTGACTTCACTTGTCACTTTGACAAGTTCGTTGCTTGGTGCGGAGAATGGCAAAACTGACTGATGATGCCGGCGAAACGACTTCGGACAAAGTGTGTTCTACTAAGTCGCCCTGACAACAAGACCAAGTTACGACAACGAGGTCGAACCCACTTCAATAGGCCTTTTAGTTGAAGATATGAGGGCCAGGTAAGTGTGGTACGGTCGCAGTCTGCTTTCGATGTACCGACCTCATTTCCGCAACTCGTCCGAAGTCGTCTGCTATGGCGGTTAGTCTAATTGCCAGCGTCGGACTGTGAATTTGGTACATTCTCAGCATCCAGCTGCAATGTGTCAAAGAGACTAATGAAGTCAATCGCTTGACCAACTTTTCCACCGTTGTGATAGCATTTGCGAAGAAATGTTGCGTTTCGAGGAATCGCTTCTTTCATAATGGTTGAGCTTACTTCCATTTCGAGTGAAAGTGTTTGGTGGCGAGATTCGAAGATCGAGTCCACCAAAAGACGGGATATAGTGGTCATCAAACTTTGGTGACAGAACAGACGTTACTTTTGATGTCCGCATCAACTCAACCCATCACTACGAGAATACATACAGCGACAGACACACTCACAAGCTTCGAGGTTGACATATGACCGTAGCTGACCAAACCACCGTTTACCTCATCAAAGAGTATATTTACCACAGAGCATCTGGGATTTGATAGATAAGCGGCATGACAAGAAATTACTTAGCAAATTTTGATGGTTGGGTTTTGAAGGCATCAACTGGTACAGACGACGTTAGGACTAAAGTAGTAAACTTATCTTCAATCCCTCTTAAATAGGAAACTTCGGATCTCTTGAAGAAGGGATTGCATTTTTGCCTTGGTAACTAGGGCAATGTTCTCAGTGATATATTCTGCTGGAAGTTGTCAACAAAACGGATCCTAACACATCAATAACCGACACACAAGAGCAGATTGGTTGGTATATGGAAAACATTACCAAAGAA